TAGCCAGGAAGGAGGGTTAACCTTTTGAAGTCAATAAGAAGAATGTCCTTATACGTCTTCAAAAACTTCTTTTTTACCTTGAATGGAAGGAAAAAAGATAGTTAATGTTTAATATCACTTTCTGTTTAAATTTTTATAAGCCCCAATTAGGATTTCTTTCTATTGAGGTTTTTCTGTTTCAGCGGGGAGATGCAGTTTGAAAAACAGTGCTTAGATTTTTTTCTGCTTTAAACATGCCTTCTATTTATGTAAATATCTCTACCTTGCCATTACCTATGTCAGTGATACCCAAAGGAAAGTTTATTTCAAACGTATAAACTTTCCATACTTGGAAGCAAGAAAATTAAATCAGATTTTTTTTTGTCTGTTTGTTGTTTAAAATTCTAGCATAAGTTTGCCCAAGGGCTAAGCTAATACAAACATACTTATCCTGCTACAATACATTTATTTACTGAAGTCTCTCTCTTCTCTCTCTCTCTCTCTCTCTCTCTCTCTCTCTCTCTCTCTCTCTCTTTCTCTCTCTCTCTCTTTCTTTCTTTCTTTCCTTTTCCCTCTCCCTTTCTCCTCCTACTCCCACCTCTCTCTGTTTGGGTGTGGGCATGAGAAAACTGGTGTGTAACATGTGTGTGTGTGTGTGTGGTATATAGTTGTGTGCAGGTAGATGAGTGCACACGTGTGTGTGGTGTGTAGTTTTGTGTGTAGGTAGGTGGGTGCACATGTGTGTGTGGTATACAGGTGTGTGTGTAAGTAGGTAGATGTGCCTGTAGAAGCCAACATTTAATGTCAGCCATCTTCCAAAATCACTTTTCCACCTTAGTTTTTTTTGAGACTATAAATCAATATAAAAGTGGAATGTTTGGGGCTGGAGAGATGGCTCAGCAGTTTTTCACAGACCTTGGAGCTTACAGATTGTCTCAAAAGAATAGCCAAAACTCTCCACACACCCACCTGTCTCTGTCTTCCTGATGCAGGGATTTCTGGAACCTGACACCACAGCTAGCTTTTTATGTGAGTACCTGGAGGTCCAAACTCAGCTCACCATGCTCACATGGCCAGTGCCTTACCAACTGACGCATCTCCCTGCCCAGCTTTACTTAATGTAATTTTGGAAGAATTGTTGGCGACCATTTGAGGCATCCCCGGTTTCAGCATCTCTAACAAGTTAATGGTTAGACTTTAATGGAATTGAAATTAAAAGCCAAAAATTTTCAATTACACTTCATTGTGATGTTGTAAAAACAAACATGAAATCAATATAAAAGTGGAATATTTGGGGCTAGAGAGATGGCTCCACAGTTAAGAACACTGACTGCTCTTCCAGAGATCCTGAGTTCAATTCCCAGCATCCACATGGTGGCTCACAACGATCTGTAATGGGATCTGATGCCCTCTTCTGGTGTGTCTGAGGACAGCTACATTGTAATCGTATACATAAAATAAATAAATCTTTTAAAGAAAAACAGAATATTTTTATTTAAAAAGTTCAAATTAGGGATTTTGTCTGTTGGATGTGATTATGGTTTCCAAGAGATAGGAGTCTGGCTTTTCCCTTCAGGAGCCCAAAGAGAGCAGATAACATTGTGCACTGCATGTTTTAGACCCTGCCGGATAGTTACCTTCAGCCTCCTTATCTCAGAGTGCGCCCAGTCTGTGTTGTGATCCAAATGTTTGTCCTTTCAAAATCCATATGCTGAAATTCTCCCCATGTGGCAATATTAAGAGGCAAGTCTTTCGGAGAGTGGCTAGGTCATTTCTGATAGGGGTCCACATGAAAAGGCCTGGTGCCTTTGAGAAGCTAAGGGAGGTATGTGTCCTGCAGGAACAAAGTCCGGAGCTGCCTTCTTGGAAAGAGAAAGGGAACTCTTGCCAAACATCAAATCTACAGGCACCTTGACCTTGACTTCGCTGCCTCCTGCATGATGAGAAATAAGCTTCCATTATGTATAAATCACTGTGAGATATTTTTAGAGCCACCTGAAAAGATTAAGAAAATTGGGGAGGAAAAATCAGAAATATGTAACTAGCGCCAAATGAGTCATCTAGTAAATGCTGCAGCAATTAGGAAGTGGGGAACTGAGATTCTTTAGAATAGACTTGACCCTCATTCTTCCTGGTAATCTAACATCTAGCGTATTGCCTGATCTCTAGTAAGCACTCAATAAACATCTGTTACGGGATTTAAGTGAACAAGTTGGTCATTGTTGGCTGATACAGAAGGAAAATCCTGTGAGTAAAATGGACTTCTAACTCTATCTGGAAGGATGGACAGGGTTTGTACTGATGGGAAGAAATAGAATAGTATATTGACAATGGGAACACAGCACAAGCCAAACTCCAGAGAGAAACTAAGAAATAGGCTTGAGGAGGGCGATGAGTAAGTTTTCCAGACTAGAGCTGAGAACGCACGGAGTCAAGCATTAAATCTAAATGTTGCTAGGAAAGGTGGAAGGAGATTTATGCAGAGTCTTAAAAACTGGACTGAGGACTATGGGCTTTATTAGGTAAGAGTGGCAGCCGAGAGGCTTGATGGGAATGCGGTTTTAGGGAGTTAACCTGGAGCTGGAGGGAGGAACGGATCCAAGGACAGATCTTTGAACAGCTCAAGCGGGGGTAGGATGGGATGGGAGGGGTGGGGGTTGTGAGGAGGTGTGAGATGGGGTGGAGGCAACTGGCGGTCTCTGGGCTGTGTCAGTGTTGAGGTGAGGGTGGAAAGCAGATCTGGAGGAAAGGCTGACCAAGAACTCTGAGTGTTCTACTATAAAAGATGACAGTAAAGGGACCAGAGGAGAGACTAGAGCTAGCACCAGTAATGAGCCATCGCAGGGAGGAAGGATCCAACCCACTTCAGAGGACTTTGTGTTCTGAGAAGTACTGTGTTGTGTGTTGCCTTCAAGCGTCCAGTGGATTTTGGATTCAATTAGGTATTTATCAAATGCTTCTTCATAGTCTAGGATGCACCAGCTCTTTAGAAAAGGCAGACCAACCAGCCTCCTGAACATCACAGCTTAGCACAGCCCCTCTCTGATATGCTCAGAACATTTACATCAGCCTGCCGTTGAAGAAGAGCGTGTAAACACAAAGACCATCTTGTGATCAAGTACAGACTGTCTCACGCTGTTCTTTGAATACTGAACTGGAGGTAAAAAGCAGAATAATTCTATAGTACACTTTCCAAACCAGTGAAAAGCTAAAAAGGATAAATAAATAAATAAATAAATAAATAAATAAATAAATAAATAAAATTACTGTTAGTGGTGAACTCTGTGTTTGGGAGGAACTGAGTCAGTGGCTTCAGATCACTCAGCATGCTGGCTGAGACGAAAGTTAGGGACTATCAAGAGGACTTGTCACCAAGCCTAACAACCTGAGCTGCTCTCAGGATCCAGTTGGTGGAATTCAGGCACTGCAAGTTGTCCTCAGAGCTCCCGGTCTTCCCGTGGTGATAGCAGGTCTGGGGGTGCAAGTTCCTCCCCTCCCTCCCAGCCAGGCATCTTCTTTTAAGAACAATTCAAGTTGTTCCTTTCTAGATGTTTCTAGAAACATCTCTAGAATGTTCTGCTCATCCCCATGAGTGTCATCACCTTTAGAGTTGGAGCCACCACTCTAAGGACCAAGTACAGTGTGGAAAGGACAATTTCTGGCTGCAGGATGAAGTGGAGAAGGAGTGAACCCTGGTTTAGCAGGATGAGTTGCTAGCGTTCTGTGTATCATATCCCTGGGTACTGTATGGGCTTATTGAAAGAAGGAAGAACCTACAAGTTCTGTACTAGCCCAGACTTAAGGGGAACACTTACACTATTGAAAGAGAACATCAGGAATGAATCAGAAGGCATTTCAGAGAAAGGAACATGATACTGCCTGTGCAGAACCACAGCCACAGCTAGTCTGAGAAGAGTCATCCCTGATGAAAATTCTAAGTAGAAGTTTCACGGGGTAAGGATTCTCTCTCTGACCCTCTTTGATAATCCAAAGACTTGTCGTGTGCTTAGGACACAGCAGACAGTCTATAAGTAGAACATTTTTAATATTGTATTTATGTGTATTTGTGTACCTACCTATCCCTACATGCACATGTCCGTGCAATGCCATCAGAAGGCTGATGAGGCCCTACCTATCCCTACATGCACATGTCCGTGCAATGCCATCAGAAGGCTGATGAGACCCTACCTATCCCTACCTGCACATGTCCATGCAATGCCATCAGAAGGCTGATGAGGCCCTACTATCCCTACATGCACATGTCTGTGCAATGCTATCAGAAGGCTGATGAGACCCTACCTATCCCTACATGCACATGTCCGTGCAATGCCATCAGAAGGCTGATGAGGCCCTGGAACCAAAGTTACCAGTGCTTGTGAGCTCCTCAGTGTGGAACCTAACTCAGGTCCTCTGAAAGAGCAGCCAGTGCTCTTAACCACTGAACTGTGTTAATGAGCTATCAATTGGGAATTTACTTGTACCTTTTGGAACATGAGACACTAAATGGGATAAAAATGGAAAGGGAAGAGTCTAGATGCCACTGTCCTTATACTCAGCATAAATACCAAGGGGTACCGCTTTAGGTTAGGGCTAGAGATTCAGGTAAGATGGACATGTGTGGGTTGCTAATTTCATTTCTTCCCCTCTCCTCCCCCTCCCTTGCCCTCCCCTTCCCCTTCCAGACAGTAGCCCAGTTTCTCACTGAACTCTTTGTGTAGGTGAGAATGATCTTGAACTTCTGATCTTCCTCTGTCTCCCAGTGTTGGGATGTCAGGTTTGAGCTGCATTACCTAGATAAACAGTTTGGTTTGATTTGGTTGGTTTTTGTTATTGTTGTTTTGTTTTTAATGTGTAATTCTAAGAATCATACCCCATATTAGTGACACTCTGCTTGGATCACCCCTGAGAATATTAAGGGATTAGCAAGAGTTAAATGAGGCCACCACTATGTAAAGTGTTTTCAAAGATTACCCAATTAAGCTCAAGTTCTTCTTAAAGACTCTATTAATTTGAATACTGGCTGAGTGTTGTAAAGTTTTATTCAATGACAAGAGTATGCATCTAAGGACCTTCCCCCTCTGTTTTCGAGCTACAGCGAGACTTGCGACTTGCGGGTTCAATCATTCTGCATCTCTGGGTGAGTTTTACAAGGCTTGAAATAGCTGCTGCTGAGCTGTTGTTTGCCCGAGTGTGTACACTGAAGAAAAGGCAGGATTCTGAGGACTGACACTTGGTTCCAAGAAGTGCTGAAGGGTCTTGCTTTCCCAGCGCTGTTGAGTTTCTTTGATAGGACTGAAAAGAAGCAACAAAGGAAGACAGAGGAGTGGATTTTTAATTAAATATTTCTTTGGTTTTCCAGTCGCTATACAATGAAAATTGAGTTGGTAACCACTCTAACTGAGTGACTCCATCTTTGAGTTGTTGCTCTGTAGAGATAGGATGGTATCCTTCCAGCTTCTCTGTCTTTCTCTCTCTCTCTCTCTCTCTGTCTCACATATATACACACTCTTCTTCTCTCCCTCTCCTCTCCTTCCCCTCCCCATGTCTGTAGGTTTTGTGTTTTCTTTTTCCCTTCCCATGTTTTCTCTAAGTACAAAAGATGTATTACAGATTAAAAACTTCTGTTCTAGGGGCTGGAGAAAAGAGCACTGATTGCTCTTCCAGAGGTCCTGATTTCTATTCCCAGCAACCACATGGTGGCTCAAAACCATCTGTAATGGGATCTGGTGCCCTCTTCTGGTCTATCCAAAGACAGCTACAGTGTACTCATACATAAAATAAATGAGTCCTTTAAAAAAAACAAAATAAAACAAAAAGAAAAGAACAACAACAAAAAAACCCCTTCTGTTCCATAAAATAAACTTTTAATAAAAGTGGTTGAATGTTAAAGTACGGAAGCAAGTAGGGAAAGTAACATTGAATAAGCAAGCAAGCGCAGAGCGTCCTGGGCAGCGATCAGCGGACTGGCATGCGTGCCATGGGACTTCATAAGCGTGTGTTTCCAAAGGCGTGCCGATGCATACCAGAATCCTGACAGATGACATGCTGTGTTTACATGTAAGTTCTCCAGGATGAGAAATGCTATGTAGCCGAAATAGAATTCCCAGTGCTGCAAAGAACATGGGATTCAGCACATCTCTGCAAAGCAAGTTCATAATCTAAATACAAACTAGGGAAACAGAATATGAAATTCCCAGGAAAGACTGACCATTTCAACATGGAAGAATGTCAGCAGAGACACGATGCACATACTTTCAGCCGTGACTGTAACATTTTCTGCATATTCCTTGCAGCCAGAAGCAACATCTTTCGAAGCGAAACTGAGTCTCAGTGTTATTACTTTCAATTCCTCTCTAGATTATGGATTTTAATAGCCATGTAAGTGTGTGTGTGTGTGTGTGTGTGTGTGTGTGTGTGTGCACGTTGTGGGTAGTTCCCTCAATGGTACTTTAGTATAGCCCTTGCCCTCAGTTGTTACCATTGGTTGGCTCATTTTATAAAATATGTTTCACTTTCTTTTTTCCATTGGGGAAATGGAAAAGTACTCTGCTGAGAGAAACAATCAAATGTACACGATTGTCCTACACTGACATCCTCAAGCAAGAACCATTTCTGTTTATTGACCAGAGATTGGTGCTGATAATTCTACCTTACAATGATATTGAAGAGGGAGGGAGACAGTTGGTCAGCCCCGCTGCAGTTCTGTAACAGGGTCTGAAGCTACAGTGTCTCTTCTTATCCTGAGCATGAGACTTCCTTCTCTTGAAAATCCTGCGCTTCTGTGAGCCCAGTGAACAGTTGTGGTTCTAAATTATCCTCCTATAGTAGTTACTTTGATTGTATTTTTTATTTTACTTTTGGAAACATGTGCTCAGGTAGTGTAAGCTGACCTGGAACTTCTTACACAGCTCAGGATGACCTAGAATTTCTGATCTTCCTGCCTCCATCGCATGTGCACTGGAATACAAGTGTGCACCACCAGTCAGCTTGTGCTGTGCTAGGAATCAAACCTAGTTCTGTGTATCCTAGGTGCTCACTCTGTTCCAAGAGCCAATTCTCCATCCTTGCTCCATGTCTCTCTGATAGACAGGGTCCAGCATACAGTCAGGATCCATGACACTCTTTGGCTCAGACATTTCCTTGTTTTATTCTGTAAACAGAATATCACAATATAATGGGAGGCAAAACCTTTGATCATGCTGAGAAATACTGTACAAAAGGGTGATACTCCCCCAAAACATCACCACTAGGCATTTTATTCATATAGAAAATCTTTATTTTTGGAAATGCTTGTCAAATACATAAACCATTTCAAATCCCTTCTGTGTTTTTTTAAGTTCTATTTTTCAAAATACTGTTTTTAAATTTATGGAATATGTCCATTGTATATATTTGGAAAGTTGGATGAGCATGTATATTTATATATGTGTATTTACATATGAATATAATTAGAAGAAAAGCATAGCGCGCCTGCCAGAAGCACATGCATACTGTGCCTTTTAAAATTGTGAATTAAGCTCCCAGCATCACTGTTTCTAATGAAATGTGTTTTTTCCTCCCTGGATATACATCTGCTATTTTTTCTTCCTTGATTTTTATGCCAGGTCTGTTTTCTTGATTAGAGGGAGAGACAGAAAACAAAATGAAATGTCCATTTCAAGCTGTTGATTTTATTATCATGCTGAGGGGTTTCTTCACTTACCACTAAAACCAGTTTTAAGTTTAGATATTTGAGAAAAAAACAAAACCCTCTTAGACTTACGCTAGGCTTTATTTATAGTTTGGTTATCTCATTTATGTTACTAGGACCTCCGTTAGGCTGCTGTGACAAACACTCAAACAGTGGCTCAAACAAGATAAAACTGTTCTCCCATGTATAATGGTCTGGATCCTGAGTGCTGGGCTGTGGCAGCCTTCCAGCATCGTAGACACAAGCTCCACCAGTCTAACTGCTCTGCCGACTTCAACCACCACTGTTGCTTCTGTCCCCTGGTCCAACAGGGCTGCTGCAGCTCCAGCCATGCTAGGGAAACTCACACGTCATCTCCCTCAAAGGGCATACTCTGAAATTTGTATGTGTAAGTTCTGTAATGATGTATACATATACACCATGATATAGTAAAATTTATACTATATAATATATAGTATATACTATAGTAGATGTCCAGACACAACCACACTAAAGGACGCAAGAGGGTAGAGAAAGGCTTACACCTGTCCATGAATTTTCTACAAATAAAAAATTCTAGGCTGCAACCCATCCAAGGGCAGTGCAGTGCTGATGGACCAACAGATTGTGAGAAATCATTTACAATCATATTTTTATTAACTATTTGAGAATTGCATTGATATTTTGGTCACATTAGCTCTCCAGTTTCCCCAGATCCACCTTCACCTCGAGCCGTACCCAACTTTGAATTTTCTTTTCTTTAGAATTCTTTTCCCCATTCTCAAGTCCAGTTTCCATATCTTATGCAATACTGATCATGTTCAGAATAAAACAGTGCACAGGCCCCTCCATGTATGTCATCTTCAGATTAAGTTTGTTAAAACAACACAATACATTTTTGTTGTTGTTAATCAAAAAGAATTAGGCCTGGATAGTTATCAGTTTTACAGTTTCACCTGCATAAATATTGAACAAGAGTATCTGAGGATCATGGAAGATACAGACCCATTCTATAAGCAAAACTATCTTACCTTTTCTGGACAATTGGGGTGCCTGGCTCTATCCTATAAATTCCTCCCTAAGATCGTAATAATCAGAAAGAGATGCACAAGTAGCTAATAGCCAGCCTGTACTCCAGAGGAGCCCAGGTCACGTTGACAGTTATAGAGTTACAGGAATTGTTAGCCCGTGGTCTAACGTTCAGCATTTCAAGATAACACAACATCCATATCATGTGATGGCTTCCTGCAGTTACCACAGTCCGGTCCTCACTATCTACACCGTGCCCACCCATCACCCGATGCTGCACATTTCTGAGGACAGCCTATGTGTTTGTCACCCACATGCTTGTTATGTTGACTCTTCCCATAAAACAATCCTAAGAGACACAGAGGTGTTGGGAGCCTGGTCATGCCCCCCCTTTTCCCCCTACATTCTGAAAATAGATGGCTTCCTTTTCATGGATAAAGTAGGGTTGTTCTTCTAGCTATTGCACCTGTATAACATCAATATAATGGGAAAAGTTCATTTTAATCTGTTTGTTAGAGTGTGGTCCCGCTCTTTGAGGGCACATCTCAAAGCACAGCAGCTTCCGCCACACCCTTTCCCAGAAGTCAATGCGTGCATCCTTGCAGTGGTAGATGTGTTCTTGCGGGTTACTCTAAGCACGTAATGGTCATGCACTGTGAAATAATCCCCTAAGTGAACTCTAACTCCGAATGCTCTGGGATCAACTCTTGTAGCCCCATGAAGGTTGTGTAGCTTCTGGAATTCTCTTTTTCCATCAATACAGGGAGAGAGCAAGCGTCGAAAGCTGATTTCAGTTTTGTAGTTACAGAACACACTAGAATCAGAGTGTTTGCTCGGGATTTCTCCTGAGGACACTCAGTCTTAAAATCTTAAGATTTTTAGTGTATATATAATGTGTGTGTGTGTAAAATTTTTTCCATCTGCAGAAATAATTTTTCTCTTAAGACTTATTTCCAATTTTATAACACCAGGAACACAGAACTGAGTGAAAAATGTTTACATTGTATCTTTGTCACAATTATTTTAATAAGTACATATCAAATACTTACGACATGCTGGGCACTGGATTAGACACCCAGAGACAGGGTGATGAGGAAGACTGGTATAGCTTGTTCTCTCGTGAAAAATAAAAACAGATATATCATTATTGTAACTTAAATAAACAGTGTGATTAAAAACTGCAAATGTCTTAACAGGATTGAACAGGGTAACCTGCAAAGGCTGGACACATTTACATCAGAATGGCCCAGTTGTGCAAATTGTGAGAATAGCGAAAACGTTCTAGATCATTCCACACAGAGAGGACAGCCTGTGCAAGGCCCTAAGGAATTCAAGAAGGTATAAAATGGGTAGGATCTATTTCTTCAGAGTTTCATTCCAGCACAAAAAGAGTGCACTGAAGAATCTCCAAGAGAAAGAATTAGGCCTGTTGTCAGGTGCCTGGCACCACTTTTACTGTGTGGGAAGGAGTCCAAGTGCAACTGTCTCTAAACACTGTAATAGTTAAAGTACAATTATACTTGAATAGGTCCTGTAATAGACCAGCAAGTTCTTGTGCTTGCAAGTCTGATTGTAAGCCCAGGATGAGAAAAAATGGTGAACTGAACTGGTAATCTCCCAGGCTCTTCTCTGTCTCCATAAAAAGGCCCTTGTTTCTTGAATTGACAGGGCTAGGAACAGAATTATGCTGAACAGTTCTCAGGTTGTAGTGTTACTGTTTCTTATTACATTTATTATAACTTGGTTTTCCTGTGCCAGTAGCTACGATGAGACCAATGTCTACTGAATGGTTTCAGTCTTTTCCAAATATCCTGAATATCTTTAAGCCGGGTCACAGATGTGGGCTTCGTACCAGATTGTAACAAGTTGTAGGAAGATTAAAAGAACATTCAATTTAGACTTTGCTAGTGTATTCTGAGCTCTTGCTGGCACCAGCCCACAGAAATCTTGACCTGTGGCCTTTTCACACACCCACCTTTACAAACACTTGGGTCTAAATAAGGGACAAACTCACAGATGGCTGACAGAAACTCTGTGCTTTCTAGAGATTGTCATAAACTTGTTTCAGTCCAGTAAGAAAAGATGTGCCCTAAATAGATATCTTAGCTGTTTGAAAGGTGTCATGAGCACAAACTCCTGAATTCAGATCTTCGGCACCCACAGAAAACTGGGTGTGGTCACACAACTCTAACCCTGGTGCTGGAGGGATAGACACAGAAGGATCTCTGAGTACTTTGTTCAGAGACAGACCCTAACTCAAAAGATAAGGTGAAGAATAACAGTGGAGGCCACCCAACATCAGCCTCTGGCTCAGCATGCACATGACAGGATCATATACAAACACATAACCCCCCAACACACACACACACACACACTCACACACTCACACACACACACTCACTCACACACTCACACACACACTCACACACACTCACACACACTCACACACACACTCACTCACTCACACCCTCACACACTCACACACACACTCACACACTCATACACTCACACTCACACACACTCACACACACACTCACACACACACACTCACACACTCACACACACATACACACACACTCACACATACACTCACACACTCACACTCACACACACACTCACACACTCACACACTCACACTCACACACACACACACTCACATACACTCTCACACATACACCTCATATGAAGCCAGAAAGGCATAGTGGTAGGCATTTTAATTCCAGCTCCAGGAAGCAGAGTCGGGCAGATTCCTGGTGCCTACCTAGGGTATTGGATGTCTTTCATTGGATGTCAGTGAAAGAAACAAAGAAGGAAGCATGGGCCCGTTGGAAATACTTCCTGTAGTAGTACGGGATGCTTTTTCTAGTGGTCCAGAGAGATACATTCTGGGGTTAGACATATAGCTCAGTTAATATTGCCATGAAAGGCAAGACATGATGAGACACATCTTTAACCTGGCACTCCTATGGCCATGACAGGAAGTGGAGTCAGAAGTCCCAGAAGTAAGAGGCCCATTCTCCAATAAGGTGAAAATAGAGGACCAGTACCCAATGTAGTCTTTCATCTCCACATACGCACTGTGGCACATAACTGTTCACACAGACACCTACATACACATGTGCACACAAGTACACATACATACACATACATACACACACACACACACAAAGAAAAATAAGAGACTCTCATAATTGCCCTTAGGATCTAAATGTGCTCTCACAGTTGGTAGGATTCAGAAATATTTCCCAAGAGCTCACTAAGCAAGGAAGCATGGATCTTTATGGTACAAGATAAATAAAATTATTCTCATTGGCAAAAATATATTCACTGATTGTCATGGTTCCTATTTCAGCTAATAAATATATGTTTGA